GCTCAGCACTGCACCACATTAGCTGCCCTCCCAACTCCCCAGCACTGGTATTCTGTGAGCCTCACTACTCAGACAGAAGGTAAGAGAACTCATTCTCCAGGCAAAGACAAAAGAACTGGTGTGCTTTGGAACATATYCCTTATCACATGAGCATTTAACTCGCTGAGATCTGCTCTCCCATGTGACTGTGTAGAAAGCAAGCCCCATACTGATACCTAGCAGCAAAACAGACAGACTGCTGCAATAGCGTATTTCAGCAAGACTAAAGTATATGAAAAGGAGTGGAAAATGGATATATCCTGCAACAAACAAACAGCAGGAATCATGGCTAGCTGACAGCATGGATTTAAGAGCATGATTTATGCATGACTACGCTTCCTGACAACCCCGCTATGCCTCAACAGGGTATTAAATCTGAATCCAGCAGTGCTCCCAGCTACATTACGAACAATTTGCCTGGGGTGCAACAGCGGTACAAAACCACGTTACTGTCCCAGACAGAGCAAGAGATGATGACACAGAGTGTGCAAAGAGTGCTCTTTATCTAGGCCAGGTGTCTGCCATGGCTAGGGAACAATCTGAATCAAAGATGAGCCCCAAATCATGTGACAGGCCCCATTCTAAGCAGCAAGGATGCTGCCAAGCAACAGAAATGGATTTTGCATGAAAGAAAACAAGACCAAGAGGACCAGGAAAAARGCAAGACTATTCAGTTCACAGTGAGGGTGCCAACATAGTGCAAAAACAAGATAGCAAGGTAATTTGACAACCACATTCAACACAAAACTACAGAACAGTTTGTTCTGATAAGATTGCAAGAAAGACAGTTCAAAAGAGACTGTAGTAAAAGGTGATAGTTTTCGGCCAGTTCCGAGAAGAGACTCTCGGCCAGTAGCGTGCCCATTTTAGGATCATATGGACAGAAAGAAGGATACTTCCAACTTCCATACAAAGGGGGAGTTAATCTCTCTTCATCGATAACTATACTTTCCACAGTATACAAGCACAATGAATAGCTAATAAAAATTGACACAAACACAGCCCACAGCAAGATGCTGTTGTTGGTACACAACAGGAGAGTTGAGGAAAAGGAAGTTTAAAACAATTAAGGTACCTAGAACATGTGAGGCCCAGAGAAAGCCTGGAGTAAAAACTCCAGTCTCATGTATAATCCAGCTAGAAAGGATGCTGCTTTCACTTTCCCTCAGAAAGGAGAAAAAAAAAAAAAAAAAAGACTGGCAAAGAGAAAAGGACACCCAGAGACATCCAAAAGGCGCATACACAAATATAAGAGGAGGATCAGGGGGAAAAGCCTCTCAGCAACACTGAGTAAGAGACAGCAGTGACATCAATACCATTGTGGGCAAAACTGCTGTCAGACGAGGACTCCAGGTCTGCAAGGGAAGAGAGGAGGAACATTAATTTAGGGCCTAAGACACATCAAGACCACAAAATGGGAGAGCAGACATTAGCACGAGAAAGAGCACAACCTGCACCCTCCTCTGGTAAGGCATGAAGGGCAGAATCCAGCTGCACAGAGCTCAGCCTGAAGGGTCCAAAGCACAAGACAATCTCCCTGGCACCACAGAAAATGGCCYATACTGATGCAGAGGCAAGAGAAGCATCGTACCTATGTTAAACGTGTACTCTCCTCCACGCTCTCGGTACATCTGATACACAAAATAGCAGGACACAGGTTTGAGGAGGAGGCTGAGGATGGCCATGCCTACAGTGAAACGCTTCAAGTCTGTGAGATAGTTCTTGGTGGGATAGAAGACACTGATGTGAATGATGTCTGTGAGGACTGTGAGCAGCAGGCCAGACAGGAACTGAAAGCAAAGAGAGAACACAGGATATGAACTGATCAGGGAGGCATCACAATCAGTTAAAAGGTCTTTCCTAGATCTGTGCTCACAGCTATGCTCTCACCCTTGGATCACACACTGCTACCTCTTGGTACTGGCTAAGGAAGACTGAGAAGAGGAAGAGACGTAAATGCATGATCCTGCATTGTTCCTTCACCTGTTAGACACTGTTTCATGTATGTTCCAGGGCTATTTTTCCTGGCCAGTTTGTTTTATGGACCCTCCAACTCAATCACACTAAATGTTTTTGAGCGGTTGGTTAGCATTACAGGTCACAAATGCAGGTTAAAGAATAAGAATCAAAATGCCCCATTGCTAGGAGCAAAATAAGGAATAGCGAGTACTTCTAGCCATGGTTTACAATGCCTAGTCAATCACTCCTGATAAAGGTGGAGAGTCTGACTTATCCACTACTGTACTGACAACAGCTGAGGAACATCACTGATTCCAAGGAGCAGTCTACGCTCTCCATGCTGATGGAGGCAAATACCCTCATACTCACCATCACGATGGCATCAAGGGAATCTCGCTGCACAATGGCCCAGATTCCCACTGCAAGTATGCTGAAGTTTCCCCAGGCATAGGAGGCTGGAAAGTTGTAACTCATGCACCCCCTACCAAAAAAAAAAAGATAAAACCATCCGTTTTTCACAATAAGCCTGTAACAGTCTGTTTACAATCAATCCCATGTCCTGTGCAAACACCTCCCTCTTGGAGGCAGGATCTCCTTGCACATAGAGAAGCACATGTAGGGAGTGCTGACTCCACAGACTGTCCCATTCCTAGTCTGAAGGAACACCCTCTTTTCACCCAGGACAGGCCAGTAATCAATCACTCACCACACTGTGAGCAGCCAGTGTACCAGAATGATGGCCTGTGAAAAAAACAGAGAAAGACACGTTAGCAAGCTGTGAAAGCTAGGGGAGATTTGAAGCACAACAATACTGTTTTGTTTCCTAGGGAAGAGTAGAAGAGTGTCCTTGGGAGCTACATTAGACCCACAAATGAGTACAGAAAGCTAGTTTAGTAACTGGGATAGTACAGGCACAAGAGAGATTTTTTTTTTCCCCCTGCCTCTGCTGCTGGTATTTTCTGTGGTGTTGCTGCACTGCAGTCATTCATTATTGCTGTCATTTCTGTTGACAGTTAATTCAGGGCCCATTTAGACTTTCCTAAATGGGTTATTGATTTTGGAACTCCAGAAGAGTTTGTACAGAAAACTGGGCAATTTGATTTACACTATTTTAGCACAGCTTATACCTGTCCAGTTTGGGGGCTTATCATCAGAAAGTCCATGGACAACCACACCTGCAGCTCCTCGTCATTTCATCCAGTCCTCAGTAAATCTCCTTTTACCCTCTTCAAGCCTGTTAGAACAGCAGCTTAACTTCACTGTAATATTAACAGACCTGAAAGTATCTGCTGTGCTGGATTGTGCCAAAGAACACAATCCAGCACAGCACACATCTCTCTTCATTCCCAGTGAAGCCTCCAGAGAAACATAGATATTTTGCTATTGCTCTGCCTGTGAGAAAGGCTGAACAATAGACTGCATTAAAATAAAAGCAAGTCAAGCAAGTCTAATAAGTTAGACTTGAGCGAACGTTGTCAAATGACACTAACCACAGGAAACGACATCTTTTCACAGAATCACAGAACGGTTGAGGTTGGAAGGGAGATCATCTAGTCCAACCTTCCTGCTCTAGCAGGCACACCTAGAGCATGTGGCACAGGGTGGCATCTAGGCAGGTTTTGAAGACCTCCAKAGARGGAGACTCCACAGCCTCCCTGGGCAGCCTGTGCCAGGGCTCTGTCACCCTCACAGCGAAGAAGTTCTTCCTCACATCGAGATGGAACTTCCTGGGTTTCAACTTATACCCATTGCTCCTTGTCCTGTCACTGGCCACCACTGAGAAAAGTTTGGCCCTTTCCTCCCTACATTCACCCTTCATGTACTTATACATATTATTAGATCCCCTCTCAACCTTCTCTTCTCCAGAGAAAACAGGCTTAACTCACTTTTCTGCGGCATTGCTTGCTGGACTATTTTGCTGAATGACCTGGATGATACAGGTGCCTGCAAAAATCCCTGTAACCCTCCCCTCATAGTACTTACCCAATCAAGCAGAGACAACAGATATTTTTCTGTGGAAAACCATCAGTCCCACAGGCACTGTGAGACTACCCAGGCAATACTACCAAATACCACCAAAACAAGGCAGTATTAACCTCAGCATAACCTCTTGACACACACACACACACACACATACACACAGAGGCGTAAATGAGTAAGCAGAGGCAGGCTAAATTGTTTGGCACAAGAAAGCTGTATGCAGGAAAGAGAATTAAGCCCTTAGGGAAAAAAAATTAAATATTTACCGACATTCTGCACTTATTCGGTGAYTCAAAAGTTTTATTCATGCTTTAACTTAATACAAAACTAGTTGCTTGAGGAGAGTGTTAATGAAGCTGTAACGTGAACGAAAGGCAGCCAGGAAATGAACAGGAGYGACGCATCTGCTGTGGCTCAAGCTGCTCTGCAAAGATACCACGATGTAGACATCTCAAGATACTGTTCTTGCTTTACTGAAACACCCTGGCACAACTGATGAGCCTTCATTCTGAGTAGCCTACATTTTGTTGCAACGTCAAATACTGCTTGAGCAGATCTTTAACAATGATTTTTTTTTTAATGGTTCATTATAAAACCTACAAAAGGCACCAATCTTCCCCCACGTTCCCTCCTCCCATATTTTACCGTGGAGACCAGGCAGAAGCTGCTAATCAGTAAAAGACAAGATGTTCTTGGATAAGAATGGAGACATGCAAATAACATTTACCCAAGAGACTATCATAACATCAGGGAAATTCTTAATGAGGTAGTATTTAATTGCATGTTACATACCCACAAGCCCCCTCAAGGCTCACCAGTTAACATAATTAGACAGTTTTTATTTTTTTTTCTACAGCTGTCTAGATCAATACTGCAGTTACTAAATTATAAAGCATGCATGATCACAACAATAAAGTCAGGTAAAAACCTTTATTATTCAAAGGCCAATAGAAAAGCAAGGAATTTCTTTCCTAGTTAGTAGTCTAAGTTATCTGACAGTTCTTCAGGGCACTATGAAATTAGCTGGTGGTCTTGGTATGCTTGAACATGTTAATGAAAAATATYTTTTAAAGCTCACAGTCACTCTTTGAGATTAGACAATTTTCAGGAAGGTTCACGATGAGACAGGAGAAGAATTTTAATTTTTCCCTCTGCTCGAGGGCTTGTGCCCCTACATAAGAAGGGTATAAATTTCTTATTCTAAGGGAAGAACTCCTTCTAAAACCTGAACTAGTAGTGAGAATAGTAAAATATAAAAGATGGAATTTGTCCCCATCCCTTCTGGGCTGTTAGGAGGATAATCACATGATTAGAAGCATCCCATTGAAAACTGAGGAGAGCCAAGGGGAGTTACTGACTCCTCCACAAATCCCAGCATGTGATGGAACTAATTGGCAACATAAAAGACACATGGTCTGGTTATGGTTGGATGGGAAATTCTTTGGAACAGTAACCCAGTTCTTCAAGCATGCCTCAGCTCACAATCTTCAAGCATAACATTCAATTTGCCCCAAATAAAATACTCAAATTCTAAATTACCTTTTTAAAAATTCTTACTTTCTTTTTTTTCTGAAAATGAGCTCATCTACTCTGAATGGCTTACACTCATCTGAGGATACACTAACCCCAAATTTTGGGGTGAGTAATTTCATCTAAGTTGAAGTTAGYTTTGCTTTGAGCAGGAAGCTGACCTGAAYGACATACAGATGTCCCCTCTAATCTAAATTATTTTACGAGTCTATGAATTAGCATTTAAAGAAGCCCATCTCCAAGCACAAAAAGCGTGTTTCCAAACACATGCATCCCAAAACATTGTCCAGGCTTGATCAAACTGAAGTCTCATATTTCCAAGCTCAGCACAGTTATTACAGTAATCCTTCTTGTCAAGCACTCTTTGCAAAAACAAGACTACACATGGCTTTCAGTACAGTTTGCTGACTTATTACTAGTGCTGAGCCAGTAGATGCTGTTCCATGAAAATGTTCCTCATCTGCTCCAGAGGAGAACCTGCTACATCGATTTTATAGTTCTGCAAGTGGCCTGAGGGACCYCAAGGCTAAGACAACGCTGTGTTCCAGCACAAACACTGCTCAGTCACTCAGGTTTCCTGGAGCTACTTCTATCAGGAGATTTTTCTTTCTGATCTCTCAGAAAGAGCAAATGATGCTGATGAATAGCAATRATGTGTGTTGCTTCCAATCCACTCCCCCAAAAAAGCCCTTCTCCATCTTTGTGATGTGCTGCTCCCAACTTGGGGACAATTCAAAGATGCAGGTACAATGATTAACTCGCCACTCCCCAGCCCTCAAACCCCAGAGCAGAACCAGCAGACTTGAAAACAAGGAATTGCTTAATGCTGAAAATCATTTACTCAGAACAAGTTTGCTCTTACAAAGGAAGGGATTTAGGACTGGTTATCTGAAACTAGAGAAAAAGCAACATCTTAGTTATGTTATCGGTGACTCATTCAAGACACACATCTGTTTTTCAGCTCCTCTAGTTCTATCCCTCATGGTGAAACAATAAGTTCATTGGAAAAACCTTTTAATTAGAAGATGTCCTTGTTTGTCAATGTTGTTTTAACACAGAAAAACAAAACAAACTGAAATGTTATAAGCAAATCAGAAGACAAGMACTTCTAATCGTCTCAGTGCTGAGGAAATCATCCAATACTCTCAGATTTCCCAGAGTAAAAACCAATCCGTTTCCAGAATATAACCGTCACACTAGATCTTGAAAGGTGCATTTTCCTACTTGCCCCAAGAAATTACTTTTCTTGGTGAACTACTAAGTAAAACCATGAATATATGAAGTCCAAACTTTTATTTTGAACAGCCACATTTAAGTGTTTCCAAGTAAGATGGATACATAATGGTGTCTGAGCCAGTACTAACCTCCCAACCTGCAGGCAGCCAACTCCAAAGCCACTGTTCACAGCCTTATAAATCAACATCAGAAAACAAACAAAAACCCTAAACAAAACACATGGRCTCGGCGTTGCTTTCATACTTCGTGTGGTCTAATTTATAAACCAAAAAACCCCCTGAAACTTGCTCCACCAAACAAGACACCTAAACTAGAAAACCTGGATAAAGGTGCGTACATTTAGAGGCCTCAGGGCTTTGATAATGCGATAGAAGAAAAGGAGAAAAATTCTTCTATTATTAGAGAAGGCTCCAATTCCAAACGCCACCATRAAAAACAAAAACCAGTGATTCTAGCCTTTCCTAGCTTCTGCATAAGGATGTGCTTCTTGCCAAAGTGAAAAGTGCAATAATACACCTAAATAATACTCCTAATGGAGCTGTGAGAAATCCCTTATTTTCCATGTCTCCAGCTACCAGATATACGGCAAAAATTTCCATTACCTCAATTATCCCTACAAAACCAACCAAACAGAAAAGCAATTTTAGTCATCTGCCAGATGATAACTCCCAAGTAAAGGGGCTCCTCTATCCAAGATATCTTGCCTGGCAGCCCAGGCCTTGCCTCCTCACATCTTGCGCAGTGCAAAGCCGGGATTAACCCTGGTCAGCTGAGCTGGGGACCTCCTTGGCCACGAGTTAGCAACCATTTCTCCCAACTCAAAACAGTCGCGAGTGAACGTCGGAGCTCGCTGTCTGTCGGTCCTAATTYTTGCAACATTGGGCCTGGTGAGGAACTCAAGATCCCGAGCGAGGCCGGTTTTTCCTCCTCCCGGAGACTTCCACTTCTGCCGGCCGGGCCTGGGGCGCGGGGCCGGCTCCCGGGGGACGCCCGCCCCTCGCCCCGGGCCGCTCCTGGCGGCGGAGCCCCCCCGTGCTGGCGGCCCCGCTCCCGCCGCGCCGCCCCTACCTTGAGGCTCACGGCGGGCAGCTCCATGGCCCCGAGCGGCCGCCCCGCGACTCCCGAGGGCGGCGGGGCCGCCTGCCGTGGCGCTGGGCCTGGCGCGAGCCGCCCAGGGGCGGGCGGAGAGGCGGGAGGAGCCGCCGCTTGGGCCCGCGGCGGGGCTGGGCCCGCGCTGCGCTGCCACAGCCCCGCGGCAGCGCTGGAGTGTGGGGTTGGAAGTGAAGCTGCGCCGTGGGGGGCGGGTTGGGCCCTGCCGGGCACCAAAGGACAGCACCGAGGTTTCCATGTCACACCTCGCGTGTTGTCTCTGATTGATGTCGCTCCTAAAGCTGAGCTGGCCACCCTCGCTTGCAAGCCTAGCATGTTTAAAAACGCATTTGACTTACGCTGCAGTGACYATTGGGATTAAAATTGCCCAGTGTCTCCTAACTGCCCCACCTCACCTCAGAGTTGTCTCAAGGGCCTCTGTGTCAGAACTGTGTGTGGCAGGAGGAGGTGGGGAGGAGGGAGGATTACACCAGGGCGTGATCTTGACAAACCTGCTTGAAAATCCTTTCTAGTGCCAACAAGGAAGAGCTGCACAGCACAAACCAAACGATCCTCACACAGGTTCTGCAAGAAGACCGTTTTAGAATTCCTGCTCGGTGCAGAACACCTTTCTTCTCCCCAGGTTTGGCAAAGGAACTAATAAAAAACAAGATTTTGGGCTGATCTCTTTAAACTCAGCCTTCCTTACCTGGGTCAGGTGCTTTCTTGTCATTCAGGCAGACTCATTCTTACAGAAAGGATGAAGCCAGTGAGGAAAGAGCAAGGAGTCACAAGTTCATTGCAGAAGTTGAATCATTGCTCAATCCCATTTCTATTTCTAGCTCAAGCAATGCAACCAAAGTGCATAAATGAGGAAATACTGAGCACAAATACACATTTGGACTATGCTGCAGTGTTCATAGGATATAAAAATGTCTATTTTCTCCTAACTGCCCAACCAACCTCACTTCAGAGCTATCTCAAGGGCCTCGGTCTGAGAACAGTCTGTGAATTCACAGATCCCTAAGTAAACTACAGATGTAGCCCTAGCCAAGTCCTGTGCTGCATCCTGGGTCTTATTGACTCATATGGCTTATACACAGCACACTGAGCTCTCCCACATGGTATGGTATTTAATGCTGAAAAGAAGCAACTTAGGAAATGATAACCAGAAGTGCCCAAAGAAAACTGGTTATCTGCATAGTGGCTGAATAGCAGCAAAGAAATCGCAACACCTAAAAAAGGAGGAGRGACTAAGTAGCCTTATTGCTGTCTCAGTGTTTGGGTGGAAACAGCAATAGGAATGCCCTTCTGCTAAAATAGGTGCCTGGCAGAGGAATAATGTTGTTATAAAGACAAATCTCACTGCCGTGCTCTGGCCCAGTTTATGTAGGAGCACTGCTTAGACGCAGCAGTAAGTGGGCGTCTTTGCTCCTTTCAACGTTTTCACTCAGTCTGAGCAAGACAGAGCCTCTCATTATCATTTATACAGCATGAGCCATAATTTGGATTGATGTGACTGCTCTTTAATGCAAAGCATTCGTTTCCCTTTGTACAATAAAAGCACTTTACTTCATTTTGTTCTTCAATGTATTGTACAATTAATTCAGCTGTGCTTATATCCTGGGCTTGCATGTCAGGTACTCAAGGGACTCAGAAGCATCTTAATGATCTCGTGGATATGAAAACAATGAGAACTATGACAGACATAATGCATTTGCACGTCTCACACCTATCTCATCTGTATGGTTTATTGTGTTTTTTTTTTCTCCATTTTGCTTTACTTGTAGCTTGTAAATTGCCTCCCTGTAACGTGCTGCCTCTGTTCCCTGCCCTAGGCTTGATAATTCAAAGCAACATGATGTGTAGTGCACATGTGGTGTGAAAGACAAGCATGGAGATAAAGGTGAARACCTGCAGGGAGAAGCAGATGACCCAGGAGACTAGAAAGGCAATATGGAGATTTTCCTAAACAGCAGACTGGTCCAGGGCTGTTAGCTCAGTACAAACAATATAATATCCAGCATGTAAATGGCTTATGAAGTATATTCTGCTGGGTTGGTAAAAACCTTGTGCACAACTGGCTCCCTTCCTGCATRAAAGGAGGCTAAGAAGGCAGAAGTGTTTCCTTTAAGTCTCAGGAATCTATAGTCTTGATATGCAAGTTTATAGCAGTTCTGTAGGGCAGCAGAGAAGYTGATAACATTGCCCCTGCAGTCCCTGGCCTGCAGAGACGGACACAAGTTCCCCTGTCATAATTCTGCCCTTCTTGTCACTCGCTCGGGGTCTAATCTGAAGGTAGCTGAAGATTGCAGATGCACTTTGAGCTGTCTCCTTGTCTCCTGAGCTGAGAGCAATCATTAAGGTTGTAAGAGACCTTTAGAGATTGTCTAGTCCAAACCCCCTCCACACGCAGGGTCACCTAGAGCAGATGGCACAGGCTGCATCCAAGCAAGTTTTGAAGATCTCTAGAGAAGGAGACTCCAAAACCTATCTGGGCAGCCTGTTCCAGGGCTCTGTCACCCTCACAGTAAAGAATGCTTTCCTTAAGTTCCTGTGGAACTCTTGGTGCTCCAGTTTATTTCCTCCAGTTGTTTGTGATTGTTTCCTCTAGTTCTGTTACTGGCCACCACTGAAAAGAGGCTGCCCCATCCTCCTTGCTCCCTCGCTTAAGGTATTTGTAGATACTGATGAGATTCCCCTTCAGCCTTCTCTTCTTCAGGCTGAACAGGCCCAATTCAGATGTTCCAGGCCTCTGATCATCCTCGTAGCCCTGTGCTGGACTCTCTCCAGTAGTTCCGTATCTCTGTTGTACTGGGGAGCCCAGAACTGGAATGAGGGCATGAGCCCTGCAGAAATTGTGTGTTATCTATAGAGCCTTTCTGAATAAGCAGTGAGGAGGGAGGAACAGAAATTGTCCTGGCCCTGCAAACTCCCTCTTAGATCCCAGTGGGAAATCAGCAAGCAGAAACATTACCATTAGGGCGGAAGGGGAAACCAAAGAGGTTTGTAACGCTGGCAGGGAGCCTTCTCCTGCAACTCCACTGCAAAACGGTAGCAAAATGGTTTGGGCAGTGGGAGGGTTACGCTAAGGCGTAATCTTGACAAACATGAAAGTCATTTCTGATCTCATCAGGGAAGAGCTGCTCCTCAGGTTTTCTAAAATCTCACTAAAGCTTTGAGCTGTAATTCAGGGATTGCTTTTCACGTTTCTCCGTCACTCTRGAAAATGAATTGAGGTAGCAGAATTAGGTTTTGGGGTGAATGTTTTTTACGGGTGTAGGCTCAAAACATTGCAAGAAAGCAACATYCCTTATTGTTTCCGATAAAAAACATCAACAGCAATGTTTCCTCCAGGCTTTATGCAGGAGAAGCTCTGACTGGCACGGACTGGAATAATTTAGTATAGCATGGGTTTGAAACTGAAGCACTTTCCCACACTGTGGATTGACAACAGGGTAATTAGCTGGAGGACAGAGAAGGTTTCAATAAGATACCCCCCCAAGCTAAAATGAATGCAGACTATTACAGACCTTAGACAAAATGATTCCCAAGTGTTTTAATTTGTGCTTCCCCTCCTTGTTGTCTTTGTACTCATCATTTTGGCAATTGCCAGCAATATCCCTGAGATTTAGCAGCATTCGCAGAGCAGGCAGCTGCTGAGATGATTATGTCAAATCACCACGCTGTCCTCTCCTTTCCATGTGTAATGACTCTCACCCTTGGAGAAGTGGCTCAGAACGATGTGTGGCCCTCAGATTCATTGTGTGCCTGCTATAGCAGTGACTCCAGAGCAATCTGGGTGAGATTCTGTCACTCACCTTACTTACATGTGTGCCCTGTAATTAACTTCCAAAATTATTCCACAGAGCTCTGCTATAGCTGGTTTGGGCCTGATCCAAAGCCCTTTCAAAACAATAGAAAACCTTGCAAGAGCTCTGGATTAAACTGGGGGCAGCAGAGAAGCTGAGGCTGTGTGAATGCTTAATTTCATGAATGTTTCTCAAACAATCATTTGCAATGAACATATAAATCAGGACTCGCATTGCATTGGTCTCCCTCTCTCTCATTTGGAGCTAATGCCCCCGAAGGCAGAACAGTCTGTCACTGACTGCACTGCAACTGGGAGATACTGGAAGGAAGAGGGAAGTTGCTAAATGTAGCCCAGTGATAGTATCACTCCACAAATGTTGTCATGCCCTTAAGACATAACATTGAGCAGCTCTGAAAAGCTTTGCTATGCTCAGAAGTGGATTGAACTTTCCTCGTACAAATACCGCCGTGGGGTTTTATATCACAAACTGGGCTTGTATTCCACACCTTGGAATAYGATTTACTCACCAGCTTTCATTTGCACTGCAATTGTGAAATCAGTCTATTATCTGGGAGATGCATAAATCAGATTGTGCAATTCTTTTTACACCGCTTTGGCTGTGCAACATGYGCATGTGTCACGGCTCCCCCCTTCTGCTCCACCTCTGCAGCATCACAGTTTGGATCAGAGGCAATGATCTTGGTCATGAACTCTTTGAAACGCCACAGTGAGAAATCAATCCAATAATCTTGTGAGTTCCTTTATAGTAATTAACTCATTTTCACTGATTTTAAGTATTTAACTAATCTCACCAATTAAGGAATCAACATTTTTTTATACTCAAAGAGTTAATAGCACTTCTAAAGCAGAAAAAAAGCAAGAGGTCCCATTTGGAAGTCCTGATCAAAATTATATTCCTGTATTTGCAGCACAAAAAGTGCTGTAAATCTCCAGGTTCTTTAGAGCTCACTCACTGGTCAGCATATTGGGGTGATAGCAACAGAAAAGAACATATCAACTATCAATTTTCTTGCTTAATACAGATACTCTGTATTGCCTCACTATGACACTGAGATCATGAACTAAGTATTAATTTAGAAAAGGTTTAAACATCTGCATGGCACCAGGCAGAACCTAGGAGCAGTGGGGGATACTGGCACATATGGATATCCAATTTGGGCAGAGGAATTTTTACACAGAATGTCACGATCTCTCTGTGCCGTTATCTGTCAGTCAGTCCTTCCTCCTGGCCAGCTCTCCTATAGGATTTTCTGGTTCCTGCTCCATGCTTAGGTGTGGTTAAAGCAGCAGAAGAGTTGCACAAGGATATCTATCATAACTTTATTTACATATCATGGAAACACACATGCAAAATGTCACAGGATGTACTACAAGGGAATAGTCCGTCTCTATCTCCTGTTACCAAAAACTTGTTTTTTGGCTCACTAGGAAAACTATTACTTCCCCAGAAAGCTCCCAAAAATAATAATTAAAAATAACAGAGTTGGCAGGATAATCAAATGAGTGAGAGCTGTAGGCTGAGATGTCTCTTACTATATCCTTGCAGAAACCAGGTATTTCTCTGTGAACAAAAAAAATGAAGGAGAGTGGGAACTGACAGTCCTAAGGAGGAAGCAGTAGCGCATAAGAGCTGGGGAATATCTGTCTGAAAAAGGGAGAGGGCAAGAGGGTCCTCTCTCACCTGGACAGCCACCTTTCTGCTCATCCATATTCATTACCTACCTTTATTTATATCTGGAGGCTACAAGCTTCCTACTTTCTAAGAACCTCTGATCCTTAAGACTCTACTACTCTTCTCAAGCAATAGTTAAAGGGCCGAGCTCAACCTTATCTATCATTCCATGTGTGTGCAGGGGGGTTGCACTGGATGACCTCTGAGGTCCCTTCCAATCTTAAGCATTCTATGATTCTATGATTTGACCTGAAGGATCTTTCCTATCTTGCCTGTGTTGAGAGGAAGCCTTGCAACCAAAGGACCTTTCCCGTTCTCAGGGCATCAGACTGACAATCAGGATCATTTCCTACTAACTGGGAGAGGGGGATCCAGCTGCATGACAGGGATGTGCTGAGGGGATAGGTGAGTGAGGAAGTTCTGGTATAGGAAAGGCTGAGACCACTCTATTCATAAACCACCAGCAGCATCAGTCTTGTTGGAGCTTGGCATGTTCAGAGCCTGCAGCTTCAATCATTTGCTGATTTTTTCCTCTAATCCCCATTGCTAGGTATATATGGTTTGTCCCAAGCTCCAGACCCTCCAGGCAGGAAATAGAGCACCATCCTTCTAAACATTAATGAATGATCCCTGCTCTCCATTGACTGATTCAGGCTCCACGCAGCGTCCTTTCCTTCGGGTCACTCTTCGATTCCGGTGATATTTGGCATAACAGCGAAGCCCTACGGAAAAGGCACATGGTGAGCAGGCGGGACCAGGGCTCCCGGGAGCAGAAACATCAAACAGGTAGTTCCCACCCTCAGTTCAGGACAAAACCCACGACAGCARGGGAAGTGCCAGGACGAGGAAGCAGGCGTCATGGGAAATGAGGTGGGGAGGCTGCATTGCTTTCTGCACCCTTCTCTTCTATTTGGCTCACTGCTCTTGCTTGGGATTAATTGGGCCAGGCATAAATTCTCCTTGGCTTCTTGAAATATCAATGAATTATCCTGGTCGTTTCCAGTGATTTTAAGGAATCCTTGCTTGTCTCTCTCCTATTACTTCCCATTACTATCTAAGTGATCTTTCCATTGGGAAATTACTGTGACTTAATGTGCAGCAGCAATGGCTGGGGAGCTYCCCCTTGCTATTTATTTCTGCAAAGGTCCGGGAGAGGAGGGAAGAGACTTTGATGCGTTATTAATGGGGCAGAAGGAGTCTGATCCAAAGCTTATTGCTTATCACTTATCTCCTTCATTTCCTATTTTTGATGCCAGAAGTGCAGGGTCTGAAGGAGGCTATCTGGTATAGCCTTGTTGAACAGTAAAAAATAAAATATCTTATTTGTAAAAAAGCATCAGTAAACAGCGACCCATCACAGTGGGAGGGAATAGGAGCCTTTAGTCAGGGTAAGTCATCTGTTTCTGGTACTGGTATGTTGCCTTTTGGTGTCTATTGTCTGACTCGGCTACAACAGATTGCGGTGCAAGCTGGGCTATACTGGGGACAGCTGTGTGCAAATAACTCTCCCAAAAGTCCAGATTTTCAGCAGCCCAGGATCATTGGAAGGAGTGGTTTTATCATCCTAGAAACTGCAATCCAAAGCAACCAGCAGATAGCAACAGTGCCAGCACCCCAAAGTGGGGGAGGCTGAGGATTTATAGCTTCTATTATGAGACAGCTAATAAAACTGTCCTTGAATACTTGTACGCTGGAGACCCAGCCAATGTCACAGGTCACTGAACAGGCTTTTGGAGTGCAGGTCCCTGGGCTTTGTTGAGGCCAGGCTACCCTAAGGATGGGTTTCTGCCCCTCATTACTAATCCCCCCAGGCAGTTAGGCCTCCCATAAGGAGAGCACACAAGATTAGCTGCTCTGCTTTTATCAAGCATCTTTTGCATCTTATCCGGACTCTGTATCTCTGGGGATTTTTTTATGCTATAGAGGATTCACATTTGGCATCAACTTATAACTAGCTTAAATATAAAGCAGGGCCCGGGGGCATCTCTCATGAGACTTGCAGAAGCACCATTCTAGGCTGATCTATCAGAAGATCCTCTTTGATGAGGACCTTCAAGTTTTGCATTATCCTTTAGGTCTGTTATTTCCAGGAAATCAATCTGTTTAACTAGGGGAAAATTATATGAAGGGACCATGTCTAAGTAGGAGAAAATTACATGAAGGGACCTGGTCAAAGCCATGGTATACCTACATGGGCCACGAAATTTAGCAATAAGAGTTTTGATCTAGCAGAGAAGWCCCTATGAGTGGAGCTGATTCTGAATACACTCAGATTAGAAAACTGCCTTCCGACATGTTAACATGGTAACTGTCTATTAAGGGCTGCCCTAGATTCTTCAGAAAGTTTTAAGAAACAGAAACCTGTGTCCTGCCCTAAGTGAAGAGGCATGAAGCTGAACTCACCTTCAGTGCACATACAGTCATCGTAACACTTGTTGTTAAGGCCTCGATTGTGTGGTTTGCAGAGATGTTCACGCAAGTCGCAGCAAGATCCTGCCAACGCAGACATGAGGGTTCAGGACAGCTGATTTATCCCCTTGCAGAGCTACTGACACCCACAACAGCTCCACATTACAAACACTGTTCCTGAACACATCCCAGAGAGCAGCTGCCCATCCCTCTATGTAATCATTTCTGTCAGTATTAAAAAATAGGATACGGATGCTAAAACCTAGATTCATGTTTAATGTTTAAAACATTGATCTCAGATTGTTCCTGACCTGGGAGGCAGTCAAGATGATGGTCACAGGGCTCTCCTTCAGCTGACACGGTTTCATTCCCACTGTTRGGGTTCTTACTGCGGCGTTTCTCTAAGGAAAGAACAGATGCTGATAGCAAATTTCACACTAATGTTTTTATTTTGGCAACTGAATTCTTCCAGGATTAAAAGCAACTTCAAGCTTCAGGAGTCTGAGCAATAAACCTTTAATAAACCTTTAAGCAGTTTTTTCCCTGCTTCTCAGCGCCTCATCTAATCATTTTTCCCTTACCCTCAAGCTGTCCATCCAAAATGAGAAACAAGATGGAAGAGAACACAAAATACAATCATCATTATGCTTGTCCTCTGTTGCCCCACCGCCTCCCCTGTAATCCCACACCTTTCAGCAAAGCTATGAGCACTAACCACAGGCCAAATCTTAGGGAAAGACCTTTGGGAAAGAGAACAGGGAAGTCAACAGTGGAAGTATCGCACCTTTCTTTTTAGCTGATGGCCACATTTCTGGTTTGAGGTCCTCATAGTCTGTCCAGTCAAAGAGTGCCATATCTAGGGTGGGCATCACATCCCCATCCTGCCTGACACGAGCCTGCAGACCACAGGGAACCAAACAAACAATTGATTACTCAGTCTTTGTGAGTTTTCCTGGTGCTTTCAGACCTTAATAAGGTCTCGGGTTCCTTTGCTTTGTCTACTGAGAATTCTTGTCATCTCATTTCCAGGAGGGAATTTGTTCGAGGATGAGCTTGTCTAAAACATTCATCATTCCCTTGTTCTGTCATAAGTCTAGGGAGAAGTTTTCACCGCTTCCATGTGAGAAAGAAAGGCCAGTGAGGAACATCACGATATGCTGCCTCTCCAGCCAAGTGCTCCTGCTGTGTCCACCCTTGAAGCTGAATGAGCATGGCTAGCTAAGGGGAGGGAAGAAAGACAACTAAAGGAGCAATTTATGAAAAAGAAGYGTTCTGATGTCTCCAAGGTAGAGAGCTGCTTTTAAGGGAGGGTCTTGGTTTTARGTAAACTTATTTCTAAGCGGGGCAAAAAAAAAAAAAAAAAACCTATCTGCATATTTCTGCCTGTATTAGAGGCACAGAGCAGTTACCAACTGTCTCTTTACCTGTGAGCGAGGTGATGTGGCTGGAAGAACAGGGGGCTCTTCTGTGGAAAATGCCAGTTCCAGAGCAGTGAAGTGAAGCATGGTGGGGGTCAGACTTGTCGCCTCCGCTGCCTGGAGGTTTTGAAACGGCTCTTGAAAAGGTTCAGGCTTCTTGTACAGGGAACTTGGCCCAATATCAGTCTTCCCTAGAGAAGGCAACAGGCACAGCAGCATTAGCTTTCTCACCTTCCTTTCTGTGTACCATGAAAAGATTTGGATCAAGAAATCCAAGTAGCATCTAGCCAGTGGCAAACCTTCCATCACTTTGAGTTGCCGTTTATACCATACCTGAGCAAGGCAGAGTCATGTGCTATTAGATCAAAGTGATAGATTCAGACCAGACTAGATGCATTTTAGTTCTTACATATTCAAGTCATACAGAATAACTACTTGTTAAAATAGGTCTACATTTTGCTTAAGAAGCAATGGATTTCTTCCCAAGGAAAATGCGAATCTTGAAAACTTCTTCAAGTTACAGCCATAGACAGTCAATTATTTTGGAAACAGTCCTCGTTCTCTGGTAATAAGGATATAAATGTATCTGCTTAGCCATTTTTAAACAAATGTATTAAGCTTAAATTCATCTGTATTCATGTATTCATTCTCTTATTTCATTTTAAGATTGGATTATTTCAATTTGAAATCTTCACAGACTGATTGCTGGTTTTGCTAAGTATTAGTTAAGTACACACCTGAAGTTAAGCCAAAGAAACAACATTCTGCAATTAGCGTCTAGCGTCCAAACTAGCGTCTGTTGCACACTCTTCTATATTGCTTAACGTGAGTTGTTCAGCCACTGCCCCTGCGAGAACAGCAGAGCTCTTCTCACTGAAGTAGGGAGGAGTGACCGCTGGAAGTCAGGGACAGACACCCAAGCCTCTCAAATGGCAGAGACTGACAGAGATTGCCTGTCTTTAATAGCAGTAGAGGCATCACACCACAGAGACATGCACCCACAGCTCGACCTGTGACACAGAACACTCAAAAGCTGGCACCATTTCAACATAATGAATGTAGTTTCATAGAATCATAGAACCATTAAGGTTGGAAGGGACCTTTGGAGATCATCTAGTCCAGCCCTCCTGCACACGYAGGGTCACCTACAGYGTGTTACACAGGGTTTCACACCTGCAGAAGTTACAGTTTTATAGCCAACTATTGTTTTCTAATTTAATTTGGCTGAAATGTAAAAGAACATGGGCTCTGACGAGAAGAAACTGGTCTTCAAGCTAAGCTGGGTTGTTTTATTATTTCTAGTTCCCATCACATTTTGAAATCAGTGGAAAGATTAAGCATGGCTTGGGCATGCTTGTTCCTAAAGGAACCATTTGCTGAAAAGCAGAAAAGAAAAAACCAAAGCAAAGCAAAACACACACACACACACACAAAAGAAGAAAAAAAAAACCCACGCAAACAGGCCACACCAAAACACAAAACAGAACCTCAGTCTCAAGAAGTTTTAGAGCTCTTCCATAACACAAACTGGGGACAACAAGGTCATTTTCACAAAACTGCAATGCGCAGTGAAAACCTCCGATTCTGGAGCTGCCTTTTTTCTTGTGCCTCTTTTGTTTGGCAGATTTCTCCCCAGAGCAGGCACGCACTCCACGCCCTCCACACACCCCTGTGGCCCAACCACAACTGCATCTTCTTGCCCTCACACAAGCGACACTCGTTTCAAGCGACCCAACAGCCCCGGCGTCTCTTGAAGCTCAAATACCTCTGTGGTGCTTCAGTCGGTCCCTGCGGCTGTGCCGCCGATGCTCTCGGTTCTGCTTCTTCCCCCTCTCAGACCCTGGGGACTGGTTCTCCCTCTCGGGATACTCAAAACCCAGGAATCCATCCTTATCCTGCTTCAGGGCTGCTGGCTGCCCCACGGCTGCGGGCTCGTCGGCGGCTGGGGCTCCGCTCCCGGCTCTGAGGGCCTCCTCGGCGGCTGGCTGCCCTCTGGACGACGTGGGCTGGACCCGCTCTTTCTTGGCCACACCGTGCTTGTGCTGGTGGCCACTTCTGGGCTGCTGGGGCCACAGCTCTTGGGTTTGAAGGTGGTTGTTGTTCTCTGGGATGTTCTTGAGCTTCGTGCCGGGGTCCAGGGAGACCGCAAGGCTGATGTCAGAAAGAGCCAGTATACATAGGAAAAGGAAAAGGGAGAAGGAGGTGGAAAATGATGCCATAGTTCCGGGTGCTCTCCTTCACCTGCAGGCAAAAYGAKGGAAAAAATAAAAAATAAAAAAAAAACTTACAAGAACTGGAAAAGTGCCAAGGTTTAGACTGAGGGCACCTAGGTAGAAGCAATTCAGGTGTCCAAAGACTAGACTTATTCCCTCCTTGGTTCCATCCTCCTTCCCAGCCCTGCCTATAGCAGCTGAGCCACCGGCAGGGCCTGCAGGGATGAGAGGTCTCAGTTTCATGTGCAAATGAGGGCCATCAATCAGAGGGACGTTTCCCTTTGATTCGGGACTGGCCCCCTTCCTCCCTCCCTCCCATTCACAACCTGCCATCTGAGGGGCTGCCCCGAGCCCCCTCCAGCGCCCGCACAGCACCAGCTGTCCGGCCAGGGCTGTTGTTGGCTGCCAGGTTGGCATCCTGGGCCTGCCTGGCACCAGCCCCCCACCTCACAGCTGGTTTCCTCGCAATGAAGATGTCAAGAGGAACAGAACTGGAAGCAGATGGTGGCCTCGCAGGACTGGCAACAACAACAGCCTTGAGCAGCTCCAGGCAGACAGGCATGTGCGTGCATGCACAGCCTCCGAGCAACTAAAGCCCGCTAAGGAGGGAGGAAAGCACTGGAAATTTTGCGCTTATATCTCGTCATGTAGCAAAAAAGCTAATCTCCTGCTGTCAGCAGGGCAGGGATGCCRGTCTTGGATCAAGGGGCAGGGAAACAGGCTGGATTCTCCCTGCATTGTCCTGCTTTCCCTCCTTGACCCCGCACAAGTCACTTCAGCTSACCCTGCAGGTGACACCATCACTAGGAGGGTAATTTAAGTCCAGAGAACATTTGGAGTGGCCCTGCGCAGTGGACGAGGAGTATTCTCATCCACTTGCCTTCAGCGCTGCATTTTCGGGGCACTTTCTTCTGTTTGAAAAGCAGGTCCTTCCCTGGCCACAAAGGACAACAAACAGCAAGATGAGGGGCTGATCTGGGAGGTGTTAGGTAGCTCAGTTGCTGCAGCCATAACACTGCAAAATAGTGTTTTACTGGCAGCTGCTCGGAACAAAGGAAAATCAGCCTGAAAGCTAAATTCATTAGCAAAGCACTCAAAGTTCCTGCTTCAAAACCAGCAGAACAAATAACCAAACAAAAACCAAAGCCCTGCATCCACTGATTTTTTTTCTTTTTTGTTTTTTTTCTCTCTAGGATTTTCCCTTAAAGACCCAGCTGGATCAAGGCAACACGCAGAACAGCTCAAAAGAGCCGGAGACGGCAGCTTACCTTTTCATCTGGAGGCAAAATGCCAAAGGGAGAGGACAGGTGGAAAGCGAATGTGAGGCACGTGCCTCCAGCCTCGCGAATCAGTCACTCGCACATGCACGAGCCCTTTGATGATCAATCTGACAGACACCTTAGCTGCTGATACTGACTTCTTGCAGGAGTGAGAAAACAGCTAAATGCTGCAGGGCAGCTAAAGAGAAGGTCTGTTTCAAGGGGCAGGGGGCATTTGTTTAAGATGCCCGGCTGTCTTGTTGGCATGGCACAGCACGGAAGGGCAGCAAAAGCTCATGGGCTGCCTCCCTGGCCCAGAGGGAATGCTAACGTGCTGTGTTATTGTTATCAGCAGGAACCCCAAACTGGTAATGCAGATAAATACCTGCACTGCATTGCTATCAGTGGAGGTCTGTGCTGTTTATCCTACCGAAACAGGCCCTAAGGTACCTTTGGTAGCTTAGGCAAATGCCATGCTGCTGTGCTAAAGGTAAAGCCCCAGCCTTCTCTCAACTACCTGTTTCAGCAACCCTATGCATATGTAACTTCAGAAAATAGGCATTTTGCATCTTTGGCAACTTTCCTGTAGTAGACTCAYTGATATAAATATTATTAGTCTCTTGTAGTTCTACAAGACAGCTCGCACTGAATAAGTATGCATAAATTCAGGCATATGTTCCCCTTACAAATATGRTTCTGGCACTTCAGTGGTGTAATAGACTCTGTCTGATGCTATCCCTGCAGCATGTGCTTTGTATTTGACAAAGCAGGGACATGAGATCAATTACATTCATTCATATATATGATCACATGATATCTGGCAGCCCTCACCTTATCCTTTCACAAATGTTCTTCCCTTCAAAGCAAAGAGGAGCAAAGCTCCTGAATCCAGACACGGAGAATATTGAGATCCTTTATCACTCCAGACCACAGAAGATGCCATTTCTATGCTCTGGGGCTGAACCAAGCTTGACCCGAGCCTGTACCCTGTGTCTGATACCTCCTTGGCTCAAGTAAGCTCAGACTTTGGCAGGACAGTATAAAGATTTCCTGGACCGTAGACAGTCTCCAGTTGCGGCAACGGACACAGTGTGAGTGCATCTACATGTGTGTCATGTGCACGAAGGGCAGGGATGCCAGACAATGCGCCCAGCTTCGTGTGCCAGGCTCTCTGTAAATAAGAAGCCATAGGGTGATGGATGGGCTTGAGAAGCCCGGAGCAGAATGGCAGGGGTAGGCTCTATGCTAGCTGACACGCAGAGAGCTGGCTGGAGCCGGGACGATGGCATTGTGCAGATAAATGAGATTTGACTTCCCTGCTGGGTCTCTTTCCATCTGTTTTTCTGTTTCTGGAGGCAATTGCTGGGGAGCTCCATATACAATCTGCTGATAGAYCTTCACATTTCCAAGTGATCCACTCTCTTCAGCTTTCCAGTTCCCCTCAAAACAGACAGGAAATCTTAGATTCTCCCTTTTCTGCTTTTCCCTCAGCAGAAAGCAATACCACTTTTCCTGTCTCCAGCCTTTCTTGCATACTCACTTTGTAAGGAATATGTATTTTTTCCCTGTCAGCTCAGGCAYCCCCTGGCACAGCAGGGCCCCCGGCTCACAGATCTCCAATCCTCAGAGCTGCCTCCTTATTTTCTCAGGTTGCCTTTATCCCTGGCCACCTTTTCTTCCTACTCTGCCTTTTCCTTTCTGTACATATATAGGCTTAAGCTCTTTAGATCCCATCACCACCCTTTGAGACATCTGCTTTCCTTTTGCCCACATCATTTTCTTTCACTTTTTGCCCCTGCTAAACATCACCGGTGCTGTAGAAAAGGGCCAAATTCAGGTTTACTGTCTGCACAAAAGATGGGCATAGGAGATTTAGGCTTGCGGGGAGCTGTAGTTGCCTCTGTGTCGCCACAAAGCCCGGCCCTGGGTCCGTGTCCGCTGGAAAGGCAGCTCCCTCCAGAAGAGGAAAGGCTGGAACYGGGATCTGGAACTGGGATCGCTGTCATTGCAAAGTGTCCCCCTCCCCGGTGTGCTCCGGCCCACGAGCGGTGCTCTGCCCTCCTCATCACCGAGCACAGAACGCCTTAGTCACACAGCGCGACTGAGCAGATACCTTCTCTCCCAGCCTAGCCATGCAGGCAGGCAGGCGCCTGCATCCCGCTCACTAAACCAGTGCTAAGCCCCGACGGACACCGAATGCCTCGCACATCCTTCATCTCGCCACTTGCCTCTCACCCGGAGCCCAAAGGCAGCCGCGCCGACCCGCAGCAGGAGCGTCGCCGCTCTCGCTGTCCGYGCCTGGCACAGAGGCTCCGGGGACAGAGCCGCCCAGTGCTGCCCACGCGGCACCCTCCGCTCTGCTGCCCGCCGGGATCTCACCCAGCGGCTGACCCAGCCATCACCGCTGTCCTGCTACCAAACAGCCTCTCCTCTACCCAATAACGGGATTAAAATAGCAACGAGTTCGAGATTAGCATCCGAGATACAGGCGCCTGCTGTCAGCACAGYGGATTCCCCAACTTAATGCAGTGACAAACGAGAAACGGTCATAGGAACCGTCACTGCTCACCCGGACCTGCTAGTGCGACAGGGAGGGGAGACGCGAGTATATTCCTGAGCGGCACAACGTTTAGGCTGCGCTTCCAACATTTTTCCTCGTGTGTCATTCCCGCTTTGAATCAAAACGTGTAGCATTAAGGGAGAGGAGATGGGAATACAGACCCATTTCCATCAAATCCCCCGCCTCCCCGAGGATGAGAGTCCTCGGTTGTGAATTGGGTAAACGTCACTGAAGCCCTGCGTGCTGAATTACCGGCTGCAACGAGCCGCTAACCGAGGCCGCATCGCCTTCGCTCCGAAACGCGATGTGAGCGCTGGCAGCAGGAGCGGAGCGCGGCGCGGCGGGCGCGGGGCTCCGCGCGCACAAAGCGGCCGGTGACAGCCGCCACGGGCGCCCTTGGCGTGCGGGGCGGCGGGAAGGGGAGCGGGGCCGGCGGGGCGCTGCCTACC